AAATTTCAACTTGATATTGTTCCTTCACCTCTCCCTCACTTAATTTTTTTCAAATCAAATCTTTCTGTGTCGAAATTTTGTTTAGTTCGTCTACTTACTGAAAGCCACTACCACCAGATAATGATCAGTGTCACAGTCTGCTCCTCTGAAAGACCTCACATCAATTATATTTGTGTGCCTTCTGTTATCTACTAACACATGATCTATTTGATTGTGTGTGCTCCCATGTGGAGAAGTCCAAGTGTATTTATGAACATCATGGTGTGGAAATTTTGTACTTTTTACAATTAAATCTTTTGACGTAGCAAAGGTTACTGCTCTAACACCGTTATCATTACTAAGTGCATGGAGACTCTCGCTGCCTATTGTGGGTTTGAAGATATCCTCCCTCCCAATTTTTGCATTGAAATATTCTAGCAGAATTTTCATGTGATAGTTGCCCAATGTATCAAATACTGATACCAATTCTTCATAAAAGCTATCCTTGATATTATCGCTTTTGTCCTCATTTGGGGCATGAACATTAAGGACAATGATGTCGCACCAACGTCCTTCCAAAATTACGTAAGACAACCGGTCACTAACAAATTCTACTCTCTTAACTGCTGCCCTTATTCTGCAATGAACAAAAAAACCCGTCCCTAATAGATGATTGTCATTCCCCTTTCCATAGATTGTTGGTCTATACGTTAACAGTTCATATTGTGACATCGATTTGAAAGTGCTCTGAAAATAGTATGTAATTCATTCTACAGCATGCAAAATGAAGCCATAAAATACAAGTGAGGTTCAAATACAATAAAAACATTATGCAAATATGTGATCGTGTTAGCGGTACTTAAAAATCAGGTTTTAACGATCTCCCCTTGCCCTCCCGCACTGGAAGACCCTTCCTGCGTACTGCACTGGACAATACAACGATTAACTGTTGTTATTCTGCTGCTGGTACTACTACTACTACTACTTACTACTACAACTACTATACTAGCACTGGTACAATCGATGTCTGTGTTCCTCCAAGTTACCTAGTATTTTAAAAGCAACACAACATTCCATAAAAATTCTGTAAACATATCAGACACCATTATTGATGCCACTTGCAATAGTTTATACATTATAATCATGAAATTAGTGCATTGACATTACTGTGGTTGCAGTTTTACAACACAAAAGCTTTTATACAAAATTTAGACATTATTAATCTTCCACACATGCCTCACCAAAGTTGCTGAAAAGCTATTTTTTTGTCATGTTCTACTTCATAATAAAAGCCATTTTTAACAAGTTCAACTAAAACGAATTCAAAATCATAAAAACAGTGTTTCTATGAACAGTATGGGAATGGTATAATGTATCTGTTGAACTTGTGGCCAGAAATAATATAGTGAATGATGATGAATTTGTGTTTTATATTATTTATAATATTGTGGTTTTCAGATGGCAGTCCAAACATATGAAAATCTAACATCTGAATTCCCAACAAATTTATAATATGCATGTGATTAATTGTTACTAATTAAAGATTAAAAGGAATGATTCTAAAATCTATTACAATGAATAAATATGTTATACAATAAGCTAAAAAATGTTGTGTACTTTTAAAGATAAATCTATGTTGCTGCATTTCAGTATGTTACTAGCACTTCTCTCCAGTACAGTTAATATGATATCAGCATCAGTTAAAAATAAAATATGCTCACTCTGTAACAACTCTTTTATTTCCTTGACATGGCAATGCCCTGTTTCCAGCAAATAGAATTGCTTGAAATATATTCTCAACAACAATACACTGCCACACAGTATTAAATCAATATATGCATTTGCTTCATGATCTGATAGAGTAACTGCAATATTGAGGTGAAGCATATGTCTGAGTTTGGCTGGGATAGTTCCATACTTGTAGGAAACCAAACTGTTTGTTCCAAACTGAGTAAGTTCAATGATTAACTGCACTGCTCTTCTAACATATCTTAATGGTACAGCATTCTCTCAGTAGTATAGGATTAGAAAGGAGGATGCATAAATACCCTACCAAATACATGCATAATCCAATACATCAAACCGTTATTAGAATTTTCATGATAAGCATACTCATAGTATGGAGTAGATAAAAGCACTATACTGTTTAAATTTCATGAATATTTGCCTCATGAGAAAAGTCCCAGGCCATGACTGCTACTTTTAATTTCTAACAGAACTGACTGGAATTTTACAAAATGATGGAAAACAATATTTCTCTCTGAAATAAGACACTCTTCTTCTTTAACCACCTAGGTGGTGAAAATCCAGGTTATCTTCCAGTGGGGACTAAAAGTTCACTGACATAATTTTTTTGCAGCACCTATTTAATTTTTAAAAGTTTTACCTTCTTTAACTTGTTTCATGATACATGTATAAACTGAAATTTCCAATAGACAGCCCATTCTTCAGTATTTTCCTCCATTTATTTAATTGTTACCCCTATTCAGTTCATTTAGCAAAGTACTTCATCATAATACTTTAGTACTTCCTACATAATCTGTACTGTTAAAATTTTCTACTGAATAATACTGCCTTTCCATACTATGTGCTTACAAGATTAATATGTAAATTTAAAAAAATTCAAAGGCCAGGAAAACATTAACAGCTTTGTATTGTATTAACAATAGTCAAAATAGACTGATACTTGTTATGGAATACATTTACATTTGAGACAGTGCAAGAGATGTAACAAATAGATTCTATATCTGGATAAAACTACTATAACAATTGCCACATTACACAGTACATTCCAAAATATACTCTCTATGGATAATCCATCAATTTCTAGTATTGCACATAATAAAACCATTAAAACAAGATCATGAGCTCTCAGTTACCACATTACACTCAGGAGGGAAGGAATGAGAATTATCTTCAGGTTAACATTGTAGACCAGGAAATGCAAATATTCACTAATATTCATAAAATGCTGAAAAATCTTGTGTGCTGGGATGGCTTCTTATAGCACTTATTAATTAATTTACATTAATACACCAAAACTGAAATTTTTAAAAGTCAATTGTGTAGGTGTTCACAATTCCCTTTGACTGTTCATCTCTCCCATCTCCTAGAACATCTCCCTAAACAAAAGTCTTAAATTTGATGTAAGGATCAAAAGTATACACATGCTGACTGACCTGACCCTTTCAATCACAAAATACAATTTCTAAAGAACCCGAAATATGAAATTTCTCAAGTTATAACTTCGCTTCCCTTGGCCTGGAAGCCTCCACACATGCTTGAAAATGTTAAAGGTTTACAACAATATGATCAGCAGTCTGCTTCCTTGTTGTAACAATCACCAGAATTTGAACAGGGTGCTTGTCCACTTGTAGCATACAACACTTACAGTAAAAGTAATTAATGAAGTATTTTAAAAAAAGCTGTAAGTTGCATTACTGCTGATAAAAAATTTCAACATTTCTGAAACAGGTTATATTATGTGTGTATATATCCTGCCATCAGTTCAAAACCGTTCAATGGAATACTGTTGCTAACACTGCTGTTTATATTCCTTCTGATGCCAGTAGCAACAGAGTACTATACATCATAACTACAAGGTCCAGCTGCAGGTTGCCAGTGGACCTGAATCAAGACCCATAAATCTGAAATAATATGCTTTTTTGTTCTAAATTTGAGAAAAATATTAAGGCAAGTGGTTAATTTTTGTGTATCAAATGTGACTTATTTTTCTTCACATAAGATAAAAGGTTGATTATACATGATGGACTGGAAATAAATAAGAACACTGATTCCACTGCAAGTGTTATTTAGTTTTCAATAAGCTGAGAAAATGATTCTGTATGCTGAACTTGAAAATACTGGGAAAGCACTATTCCAGCAACAACACACTGAGAACCACTATAAAACAACCACAGCTTAAACTTAAGAAACTAAGTACCTCCTAAATAAGAGAGAAATATTAGTGCCCAAGCTAATCTGCTCAGAAGAAACTGCATCCCTTTGCACAATACCACAGGGAAATAAAAACCAAAATGACTGGAGTAAAAGGGCAGGAACTTCATTATTTTTCATCTTCCATCACTTCATACATAACATCATAACAATACAACATTTTAAGGCAAGTCACAGTGCAATAACAGCCCTTCAGTTTGCATTCCTCAATTCTGTGTCCTGGCAAGGGAATACCTACTGGTGTACTGACACTGTACATGGTGAATGGGCAAGAGAGATGTGATGATTACTGCAATTATTCTAAAGCAATATACACGGCACAAATTCAGGATCATGTATCACAAGTTATAACTTTGGAATTACAGTCAACTGTAATCTTATTGGTTGAATAACTGATATTTTTAACCCATTATCATACCATTCAGGCAACTCAAAATCCAGTATAAAATGAATTCAAAGATGCTTCAAAATTAGCAGTTTTCATATAGATTTACTACACATGTTTTCCAATAAGGAAACAATTTTGACTTTTATCCAGTAAACATACACAGCCATCAAAGTAGCCAACATAACCTAAATTAGTTGGCATGTAAGAGCCATATTAGAATTCCAGTGTTCATTTACTCCCTTAATCTACAATGGATGGTCAAATATATGCATTCATATTTCATGTTAAAGGAAAAATAAATAAGTCTCCTTGTAGTTTAACTCTTAAAATGCAACTGAAATAGAAAACAGTTTTGAATAGATATGATTATGGGCACCACCAGGATTTTTCAAGGGGCGCAGCAACAAAATTTGCTTACAAACTTACATTTAAGCCATAAGTTACTTAATGCTTTTGTATCCCATTCAGCACAGAAGTACTTTTAAAAAATAGTTTTATTTAGTATATTTTCTGAGGGGGTCACACAGGCTGGCCTTCCCCATCCCATAACCCACCAGCACTCAAGGATATGGTATGTTTATTTAAATGGTGGTATTTTCCTCCTTGAATATAACATCTTGTATATTATGTGTTCAATATATTAATGCTACAGCACATCAACAGATTTCTTGCTTTCACCTTATGACATCCTAATAGAGACCGTTCTGTCCATCATGCTCTTTGTTCCAGAGGCAATTTACTTATTTTATGTTAACCTTAAAATTCATTCACTGTACAGGAACAATCAGAACACACTTTCACGCACTATTTAATTTCTTCAGTTAAGTTACAATCAAAATTTCAAAATCTATTTATAGTAAATATCTTACACATCAGAATTTGTGTAAAGTTTGTAAACTATATTAAGTTCTATGCATATACTTTCTTTCAAAAATAGAAACATTCCTTGATTGTAAACAGTGAAATATTTTTAGCAAAGACTGAACATGGAGATGAAAACCTGTTTTAAATTTTTGCATTACTGTCAAAAATTATGACAGTACACACCTACGGGCTCTTTTATTGAGTCTGTACATATGTAACGATTAATGGTGAAGACAAATTTATGAATCTATTGAGGGGAAAATGGCAATTGGTATAAAAGCAAAATATTTGGTTAAACAGGGCAAAATGAATTTTCAAGTTTCATGTTTACAACACCTACCATTACATCCAGGAAAGGACTGTTAGTATTATTTAATGAGTAAATGTAATCACCAGCTTTGGAATTCAACAATTACCACTGAAAATTCAATGTGCATGACAACAAGCATACATACATATATTAAGTTTCAGTCTTAGTTTAAACTGAATGAAGGTCAAAAGAATTATTCTTTTAGAGAAATTGTACAGTTGATAATGTACAAATTCAAGATCATAGGAAATGGAATAAAATGCTGGAACATTCTTAATGTTTTATATAAAAAAAGAGGGCTGCAGCTACTTATAATTTCATACTACCATTTTAATCATGCAGAAATTTATTATATTATGAATACAAACATCACAGTTGCTTGGGCATGATAGTGGAATCAGTTTATAATTATAAGTAATTGTAATTCATTTCTTTTTCTCCTTCTATTTGAAGTAATTTGTTTTTTCACTTCCTGGTAATGATATATTTATGTATTTTTCCCATATTATTTAAAATAAAATGAATATTCTCCATCTCAAAATTAGTCAATACTAACTGCTGTCCAATGTTACACTAAAACAACACCTGTAAGAAAATATTTCAGTGCACAAAGTTCCAACATTAATCAAAAGACAGCAACAGAATACATCACAACTTTGAAGCCAAAGTCTGCATCTGACATTATAACATGGCAGGAGTGGAAAAGGTTGAAGGAAATTGATAATACTCAACTATATTTGACCATCCAATTTTTTCCCCATACCATCATCTTTATTATTTTACATATATTCCATACACTGGGCTCAAGAGATTTGTAACCCACAGCTGATACCGAAGTTAATACTTTATACAGTGCAATACTGCTGGGTATGTATTTTGTGTCACCGATTCTTCACATATATACAGGCAAGATGATCACATATTTTACAAATGATAGTTAAAGTTCTCCTTCAGGTACCGTTGACTGATCAACTTCTGGTTGTGATGCTGCCGACTCCACTTCATCTTTAGGTATCTCCTCTGTGAATGTGTCCTTCAACACTGACAACACCTTCTTGCTGATCATTGGGTTAATGGCGACTTGTAACTCACTAAGTGATTCTTCTGTCTAAATTGTGTACAAAACAATTACATTAATCTGCCCTAGAATCAGAAGTTCTGAGAAAACCAAATACTTAAATTTATATGGTGAGGCTAGCAGCAACTATAAATTAATATAAAATTTAGTTATCCTGTTCTATGCAAGGTTTTCACTGCTACAAACTCTAGGTTCAATTTGCTACACTTAGCCTCAAAGTTTGTACCATTGTCATTTTTCTAATTGTTAGCATGCAAAAAATGCTTCATATACAATATTTGGGTATGTTACCATGGCTCACTAATATTCATAATAAATGTGGTAAATAAAGACCTTGTCTGGCTAGGCTAACTGGATGTAAGTTGCAATAAAGTCTGAAGAGCCACCAGCATACAACATTTCAGGATACTACATTCAGTGTAGTAATATCACCCTAATCACATAGATTCACATGGCCACAACACTGGTATTACTAATATACAGTATTAAATTAAAAAATTTGTGGTGGCAGGAGGGACAGACACATGCGAAATATGCTACGACCACATCTTTTGTTATAATGAATAAAGTAGGCTGAATATAAAAATTCTTCTGACAAATTTTATAAAATATATGTAACCTTCAAAACAAAATTAAATACTCTTGTTTAACAGTGTTTAATAGGCCATTCTGGGCATGTTGGTTATGTAAATATGCCAAATGCCACTTATAAGAAGCAAATCCTAGCAGTTCAGTCCATGGCCAGTCACTTTACTGACATGATTATCATGGCTATTCTCTGAAGAATCTACTAGAATAAAATAAAATGCAGTAATGATTTTAGTAATTCAAAAGCCATTTCTAAGTTTATAATAGCACACACTGGTGTATGCAAAAAACACGTCACATATATACACTACTTCCATACTTCTTTGTTGATTTAAATGAATTTTTGTGCTTGAAATATTCTACATCATTACCAAATCCATTCTTTTTTTCAGCCTTTTTCACGTGCCTTACACTGTTCTAATCTGCTTTCCTTATCTTATAAATGTGGCAAAATCTAGGAAACATACATAAAGGGTTGATATTGGTACACAACAGAACTGATTATTTACCTGTCTTAATAGTTGTACAGCAGCTTGTAATATTTTCTGCCACTTCTGCATTTCTATATTGTGAAGTGCTTCTTGCTGCTGGACTAAGTGTAGCCATTCTTCATGGGACTTTGGTGGTTGCCTGAAATTGCAGTATGGTATCATAGAAAAGAAACCTTGTCAAAATTAAATTAATATAAATTAATTCAGAATAACAACTAACTCTAAAATGCAAAGCCTTTCTTAAAAAGTTTATAAATACTCAAATGGTCAAGAAATTCAAATGCTGGTGCTTAACATACTCCTACAATGAACACAACACAGATTGTGTCAGCAACGATCTGTAAATGTGGTTACCTACCTAAGAACCTGCAGGTCCATAACAGTGAAGCTGTGACTTGAGTCCTGTGTCCACTCTTCCAGTGTCCAAAGCTTGTAGTAGAGGAGTGCATTGAGAAGAACTAGGAAAAGGAGAACTGCAAGAACCACCCAGCTAAGACTGTCTGCAGGACTACGTAATTCAGGTAATGGAAATCCTGAAACCACGTAAAATTATGTCATGCAAAATAAGAATGTTTCAAAGCTACCATGCCATTAGAAGATGGACTATGGTAAATTGATTCTAACCTTCATTTTTGTCCTTTCTGACACATGTAAACTTAAAACTTAATTTAAATCACATGAAATAATAGACTTAATAAATCTAGTATTACTAATTGATGAACACTTTTAGTAACTATTTGCCATTAATGTGCATACACTGATTATTCTGATATACATCTAACAACCTGAAAAAATACAATTTAAAAATACATTAATCAAGAACAGATTGTCAAAGGTCAGCAGTGATAAATTAAACAACTAATATTTATATAAATGGTGGTCTCCTGAGTTGCTGCACCATGTAGCATTTTTGACTGCATGCCAACATTTTGGAGAAACATTAGCACACATTCAAAATGCTACACAGTGTAACAGTAGCGGCCTTCCTGTCCAGCCAACAACATCCTACCACTTCAATGGCTAAGCTATCCTGGTTGACTTGATCTGAATTTTCATTAACCAAAATTTAAGACATCAGCACTCCCCAAATTAACAGTGAAACACACCACATTGAAACGAAGACATTAGGCAAGTGAGGCTAGAGTGGGTAAACAATGGCCCAACTCCCCGACAGGTTCATAATGAATACGATGATTAATGCTTTGCAGGATTAATCTCTTAGACTTACTTGCAGCAGGTCTACTAATTCTATGTTTAGGTTCTTCTGATCCAGTGGCACACACAGGCATAAGTCTCCTCCTCCGTCGCGTTTTCTTCTTAGTGACAGATAAGTGAGTTCCTTCCTCAAGTAGAACCCTCTGTAGATGTGAATAGAAATCTTCCAATCCAGACCAAGTATTTTTTTCAATAAAACCTGAAAAAACATAAATCATTCAAGTTGCGAGGAATGAGAACTTGCTAGACAAATCAGTGTATTCCTACTGACTTAGAGCATGACAAAACAAGATATAACTCAGAAAATATAAACTTCAAAGCATGTGGAGTCAAAAATTTATTGGTCACATCACAAAATTCAAAACTCAATGGCAGGTACAAGATAAAATAAAAAGGATGCCAGTGTGCTTAAGCACCACAACAAGAACAAGTTTGGGATAGTGGTGCTAAAACTCTGCACATTCTAACCTTAGCACTGGATGGAGATAAGTAGTCAGTTTCACAATATGGCCACTTTACCTGAATGGAAAGAACCGGGATCCATTTGAAACAAGAGTAAGTGGGTCCCAGAGCTGGTAAGATCACAGTGATAAAGACAAAAGTCCCATCCCTCAATCCATTCAATCATCCAGCCCACAGCCAGTCACTTTTTTGACTGTGCTATTTCAGTTCACTTATGATATAACATCTTTCCCAAATATCTACACTAAAACGATCATTTAAGGAACACAACTGAAATCACTACAATATAGTTTAATATTATCCTCCAAATGTTTCTCCAATTATCTTTTACCAAGATGTTTGTTTGCATACATACTTCACTCATGCATTCTGTGTAACATGCTTACCTTCATACCTACAGAAATTAAAAATCTTAATGAAAACTTTTGATAACTTCTTCATATTAAAGCAAAACAAAACAATGTTCAGGTCCCACAAAATTATGTTACAAGAAAGTTTCATTGCATTTACATTTGTATACTTACTCTTTATAAGACCCCATACAGACTTCTTGTACTTGATTTGAGCATAGACAGCAAGACATGACTCATTATCAGCAGTTCGAGACATACAATAATGACTGGTAATGTAAAATGAGTCTGCATACGGAATTCCTGAATTAACAGAATCTGAATCAATTGCATATAGCTCACCAGGTTTGCTACATGGCAGCATTACCTGAAAGTTCAATAGAATGTTAGAGGTGGTAAAATAGGCCTATAAACATTGTAACATTGCCCCTTAAAGACATTCAGGATAGACACAAAGATGCCATGGAAGTGAGTAAAGGCCTTTATTAGTTTCCTGGAACTTTGAGTAGTCAGGGCCATTTTATTAGAGTCATATTGAATGTTTAATATTGAAATGTCATCAATCATAGCAGTAGATAACATAAATGTCCTTCATGGCCAAAGAAATAAAGGTAACTTTATAAAACTTGATTCAAATGGCTCAAGATTGAGTCTTCTGAATATGGGAATGAACATTCAGGTTCTATAAAAGGCACAAAACTTGACTAAATGAATACTAGCTCTGTAAGAATTCTGCTGTGGAATGAGTTACCTTGTCTTATCTAAGATATGGGGTGAGACTGAAACTGTTCACACCCAGCTATAAGAATGACTACAATCTGGCCACACATCATTAGAATGTGCATTTTAACACACAGATTTTTGTAACAATTTTGATGTTCAAATTTCAATGTTTCTATAGTGGAATTAAAACAAAATGCTTCAATTCTAGTACAGTGAAACCTCGATGCATCATTTTTGATGGGGTAGAGAAATAAAAACGATGAATACGGGAAAACGACAGTTGCAGGAAAGCATTAAAAATGAGAAAAAATTAAAATAGTGCATTTTTCTCTTTTGCATACACAAAACAATACACACAAAATGAATCAAAGTTACTTCTTTTTGCCAAAAAAGTCTTTAATGAATGGCTTTACGTTTTAAGCGAAACAGAGCCCTTTCCATGTTCAAAACGTTTTCCTCATCACCTTCAAAAATATTGTGTGCATAAAAGAACGAATTCACCTTTTCACCAATGCAGCATGTGCTTCGGCAAAACTCGGCACAGCTTCGGGCTTGTATTTGTCGTCTTCCCCCTCCTCACCGTTTCCGTCACTTTCGCGATCATCACACAACTCATCGATGGTGTCGGCCATGCATGTGGCAAGCTCACTGTGTGTCTTTCGATATTAATTTATCTTTAAAGCAATCATTTTAAATTCTAAAAACATTGCGTAAATTTCGTTATAATTTCTCAGAAACGATCATTGCAGGAAAACTGTGGGCCAGGACTAAGATTTTTGAACAATTGATGTGGTAAAACGACAGTTCGAGGAACGATAGAAGTGAGAAAATGTAACATTATTTTATATGGGACATATCAGGGACTGAACAAAACAGACGATGCATCCAGGAAAATGATAGTTCGGGGAACGATGGATAGAGGTTTGTTTCACTGTAATTATTTTGTGTGTGTCATTTTACTATGTTTTAAATATGGTAGACCAAGAATCTTAGTGTCAGATTTCAGACATAAAAGCTATATATTTAGTCTTATTTCAAGCAAGAGGCAGAAAATAGTGGGCATGTGCATGATGTTACTTACATGAAAGAATGCATGCTGATAATGTGGTGCTAGATGTAAGACAGCCACGTTCAAGCCAAAGATCTCACAACATTATAACATTATAGCTTTGTCCTTCTTAGAACAGTAATTCTTTCAGAAATTAAAATATACTACCAATAATAATTTTACATAGCACAAGGAAATTTGTTTCTTTCAAATTCTCTTTAACTTGATTCCCAATTGTTATAAATATTTCTCCCTTGTAATGATGCCTAGTATCACAAATACCGACACACATAAAGAAATAATTATCTAAAAACTTTCAGATCTGGTACAGCACAAAAATCAGTTTACCGAACTCTGCCTGACTAGTATAAGAGCAGTAGGAACAAGGAATTATTTTCCTGCCATACATACCTAAACTGCAAATAGATGACTTACCTGTTTCTCAGTTACCTGTGTGGTCTTGGGTCCAACTGACTGACTTAGGGGCATGGTCAAGGTCACTACTCGCTGCTTTGTACCAGTCTCAGAATCTTGTTGCCAAGGAGTGTGAGAAATATCTGTAATACACATTCTACTTATTTAACCACTTCGCAACCAAATTACTTTGCCTAAAATTGTTTTAAGCATTGTATAAGCACAGTATTAAGGCAGCTTGTATATATCAAGAACACTGAAGTTCTAGCTGATTACAACAGGGCATATATATCAGCCTGGGGGTCTCCTGACATGGATAACGGAAGAGAACATTTACATGAACATCCTACTTCCCAATTACCATACAACTATACTCACCACTTGTTCTTCTAGCACTGTGAAAGTCTAGGTAGAACTTGGAATTTGTGAATAGCATGGTAAACAGCAGATCAACGTGGATTGGAACAATGATTCGAATTATCTTACGTCCCTCATGAGATGATGTGCAAGCTACTAGCTTTGATGAACCTGCATGAAAACAAACAGTTGTTATGCCTTTCACCACTAAGAGTGAGTATACTCACTGGTTAAATGTGGTGTCTGCTGCACTAATTCTGAATAAATTTTCATTTGGTACAGACCATGAAGATGCATTAGAAAGTGGAGGTATAGCTCCACACATTTGTAACCATGGCACTAGATGGAGAAGAGAGCCAAGCCTCATGCCCCCAGCGATTTTACTCCTTTACCCACTGGACAGTATGTTTGGTGGGCCCCAGATCCTGTGGGGATGTAGCTATAAAGAACCAATTTCTGTTCATGCTGGGAAATAAACATTGGTCATTCAGCCCATGCCTGGTAACCATACAGAATGAGCTACCCTAGCTCCTCTGCAGCACTACTTACCAGAGTGTGATATGTTTAAAAATTCAACAGGTTTTAACTACCTGATAACAATTTCAAGTACACATGCAAATTACTGATCAGTATGTTTGAAGTAAGGCATTTACAAAAATCCATTATAAAGGAACCATTTATATGCATCTAACAACCACATTTCATATTATTCTGCTACCTAATAAAGTGTGAACAAAAAGGCTTCCTGAAGGCAATCCTGAATGATGGAATCAGAATTAAGAGCTGCAAATATTAAAATTACTTATAAATTAATTTAGGTAACCTTTAGAAAAATATTCCAAAAAATGGTATGTGCCAGAATTTAAATTTAAGTTGCCAAGGCTACCCAGATTTCTAGACCCTTAATCACATGCACTCACCTCTTGTACCCTGCTTCTCAGCTTCTGACTCAGTTGTATCACTCATGTCAGTGGGAAGTGTCTCAGAGACAGGAACTTGTAATGAGCTCCGGTCATGTCCTGTAGATTCTGTGCGAGATGTGGAATGTAGTATGGTACCAGTGTACGATTCCTGGCGGGATGTGGAATGAACAGACATGCCAGTGGTAATCGCAGTTGGTGCATCATTCTGATGCTCCTCTGTGTTTGTTGTCTCCATGTGAGACTCTGTCATACTGCAACTTTCCTGCTAGAACAGCCAAAACATTTCAATCAGCAGAATCCCCATTATGAAGTCCTGAAGATTATAAAAAGAGCCTTCAATAATAGGTAAAGAATACCAATCATTAAATTCTGTATTATGTATTAGCAATGAGGCCAGCAAACCTGACTGAAATTTTCATGATTTTATTTAGCCCCTCCAAGAAAAAGCTGGGAATATCTCACAAAATACCACAACATCCCTCCTACCTTATCAGTCACAATCATTCTGACAAATGATACTGCAGAGTTAAAACAGAATCTATTAAAATAAGACAAGATACATGTACACACTTGTCCCATCTCATGAAATAACTGCAAAAATGACACAGATTCACACCAATGTTTGTGAGAAATGAAAATTCTGGGTCAAATTTGAACCATCACCATAAAATAATGCCACAAGAATATGCATCAGAACAAAGAGATAGAAAACTGCAACACGCTGTATACAGAAAACAAATCGAGGTAACATTTTCTGTAATCATAAGTTCTAAAATTTTTAAAAATTTAAAAACATTTATTTATTGTTTTAAATACCTACTCAAAAGCTGGCATAACACACAAACATTTACATGTGCAGGTGTTATTTCAGTAAACATTTAAATTTCCCTAGTTTTCTGAAATGTTGCAGAGTTCAGTACTTTTGAAGATATCCGTCTTCTGGGTTATTGCGCTGTGTAGTCTGGTCGATGTTAACCAACGTTTCAGAGGTCATACTGCCTCCGTCATCAGGGCGATGACCTCTGAAACGTTGGTTAACATCGACCAGACTACACAGCGCAATAACCCAGAAGACGGATATCTTCATACTCACCGCTGTGAGAACCTCAAGTCTTATTCAGTACTTTTCTTTTACTTTATTACCTTTTCCCATACAATTTTATTACAAGGGGAATGCAATGAATTTGGAATATTATATGAGTACCATGACTTGCCATAAAAATGTTATCATCAAATCATTTTCATTACAACATGAAGAAATTAAATAATGCACAAGTATTGCAGAAGTACGAAGTACTGAATGTGCATATTATAAAATATTTCACAGTAGGATTTCACAACTTCCTTCATGGAAATAAAATCTAAAGTGAAAACTTAAAAAATAACCGGAATATTATTTTAACTTCCCTGTCCATTCTCTCTTTCTATGGATATCCAACAAAACACAAAACCTGTTACATAATAATATGCTACAATTTGGAATTATGTATTGGTAAGATACTTTTCACTAAAATCTTAGCAAAAATATCAATATTTTCTTAGTTTTAAACAGTGTCCAGTGACTTTATGTTAATACTTCAAGATCTTATTAAAGATGTAATTCCCAGTCAAAAGCATCATGAACATGTGTCCAATTCTCAACAATTATGAGCTATGGACAAATATTCAAGATGATTTTAACAAACATACAACACAATTATAGATGTACTTCCAGCATAATGGAGCATCCCCACATTTCAGTAGACATGTGACAGAGTACCTGAATGGGCAGTTTCCTAACAGATGAACTGGCCACGGTGGTCTGCATGTCATGCCACTGAGGTCACCAGACTTCACTGCTGAAGATTTCCATGAATGGGGTTACATGAAAAACATGGTGTATGAATGCAAAGTTAACAGAAGACAGGAACTACATCCTTGAGTTATTGATACTGAAAGACGCATGAATAATCCTGATGCTCTACATAAGTTTCAGATCATCCAGAAGTTCAAGTATCCATAGCTCTGTAACCACTGAGAATCAGACCCATGTCCATACAACATTTGTGACTGGAAATGACCCCAGGAATAAGATCATGACGTATTGACAGAAAGTCACTGGACACCCAAATATAAACTAAACAGAATATCCAAAAATGCCTCCTCCGAATGCAGCCCTACCTGGCTATACAGTGATTAATACATAAGAAAATAAAGTAAATTTTATCTGACCAACTTCCTCCACAATATTGGAACCTGGATTCAACACCACTATCATAAAAGATCACTAAAGAGGATCAAGAATGAGTTACATCCACTTCCCATTCTCACAACATATTTCCCCAAGATAATGTTAATATTATCCTCCCATCTCCTTGTCTGCATTCAAAGAGGCTACTTTCCAATCAGGTTTCCTCACCAAAATTCTATATGCAATTTTGATCTCCCCTTCCAAGCTGTATGTCCTTGATTTCACTTCCCCAACAAAAAGAGTAATTTTCATGGCAATTACATGTTGATATAGTACAGACATGAAATAATACAATCATTGTACATTCTACACTTACAGCCATGGTGCTTTCTGCAACCTTTAGAGTCACAGAAGAGTCTTCGGCAATTATACTCTTATTCCTATATAACACAAACGTCTTCATTCTCTTTATACCTTATGCACAAGTTGTAAAAGTTATTAACTATGAACAATATTTTCTTTTAACTGTTACACCACACAGAATAAGCATCACAGAAATCAATCTGCAACAGCATTTATCTCTGCTTTATAATGCTTTAGGTGATATAGAATCATCTGATCTTATCTTTGCAGATAAAGTGATAAGCATATTCACCCCCAAATTGCTCTTTGTATGTGTTATGACACTAGGATGCTCCTATGAAGAAAGGATAATAAAAAAGTATAAAAACAGACACAATTAATTAATTGTGATAAAACAAACCTCATGACTAGCTTCTATTGCTATTAATTCCTTAATTCTATTCTATCCTACAGCACGGTGAAGTCATTTTTGAGAAATAATATAAAGTTTAATTTGACCTTCAAACAAAGAAGAAACTACAGAAACCAAAATGAAATTTGGCAAATCATTTTTGTATAAATTGACCACATCAGGTTTCATCAACATTTGTCATGGAGATGAAATATGTGAATGGACATATGTATGGAGAGGCAAATGGAAAGTATACCTTACCCATTATGTGAACCTTCCACACACTGAGTGTAAAGAACATATATATATTTAACAATTTCTGTAGCTGTGAAGACAAGTTAAAAATTCATAATTTAAAGAGCAGTCCTATGAAAACAGTTTTTGTAAACAAACTGTAATGAATGTCAGGGTCAAATGATAAGCAATGCTGGTTCATATTTGATAAGTACTGCTTTTAGACCTCATTCTGGAGACTGATTAATGCAAGATATTTGTGATTTTACTCAGTTCCTCCATGCCAATGCTGGGAGAGTAACTCATAACAGGCTTCATAATACCTTCTTTCAAATTCATTATTTATAATGATCCTCTCATTCAATACTATACAATCTATTAAACATCCTGCTTTTGAGTGCTGGCATCTTGTGGAAGTGGACAGTGTTCCTAATTAGTCAGAGGAACATAATGCCACCACCATCAGCCCTGATAACAGAGCAGTATGTTCCCCTGAAACATCAGAAATATGGACCAATTCCACACAGGGCCAACACCCTAAAACAGCATTAACATAAACAATGAATCACTGAGAAAGCTTAAAATCAGTCATATTCCATTTAATTTGCAGGAAAGAACAAAACTGTTCACTTTTATTTCCCAGTTTTTCCATTGTGACAAAATATCAATGTAATTCTTACTGATACCTCTGAGAAGGAATCCACAGATAGACGCACACTGATGCTGGAAAGCTTGTCTTCTTCATTAGGTGGTGGAATGTAATCTTCATCATCACTGGTGAGGCCCAATTCATCTCCATAGCAAGTGTGAACCCATTGCCATATCTCCTGCATTGACAATTGCTGTCAAACAGCACACAACAACTGTTACTTCAGTTCCAAACATGGAAGTGCAGACCAGTATAATCAACTGACTATAACAAATAGACATACATAAACATTAAGAAAAAACTTTTCTTGCATGTTACAGTTCATTAAAACATTTAACCATTCTCCTTACATCAAATAATAAATTATTCTCCTCCAGCCTTGAAACTGAAATGTGAAAGTAACTTCCTTCCACTTCCAGCGTGATTTCTTACCACTTCCTGAGAGACATAACAATTATCAAGATAAATGTGTGTAAATGAGTTATTATCACAAGCATACATTTAAAACCAAATAATTTTGAAAAAACCAAAAAATTTTTTTAGAAACATGATTTGAGGCCTGTTACAGTATTTCAATCCAAATGTAACTATAATATTAAGCAGGACAAGGCCTATTATCAAAATTACATTATTTCTTAACTCATGAGTATGCAAGAACTGTAACATTCTGAAGTAACAAAGAAAAAAATTCTATTTAAAGCCCACAGTTAAAGAGAGATTTAAAAAATTAGCATAATTTGATCCTTAATTTTAATACTTAAGCCCCCTTCTTACTCCCCCTGCACTAATACACATTCTACAATCAACTCAAAGAACCTACCTGATCCATGAGTGCATTTTGCCATACTCTAAACAGCATGAGATATGTTTTATCCCTTGCACCAAATGAAGTGAAGAAAAGCTTTTCACCTTCTGTGCATACCAGAATTGCATTAGGTATAACTAAAGCTGTTTTTTCTTTGGTTATTGCAGTGACATCTTTCCACCTCAAAGATACCTGGTGAGACAAAGGTGAAATAAATGTATGCCTTCCTTTTAGTAAGAGGAACAGAATAAATGTGCTCACAGCCATAACTTCCTTCAGTCACAAATACTTTAAATTCCAGTGAACTAAAACAGAGATGGACAAAATATGTCATGTGGTCAAGGCATAGTTCAAAGCTCCAACTGATCAGACTATAAAAATGCAGACATTAAATATTTTTCTTTAAATTATTGATCATGGACTGTTACGTTTTTCTGGTGTGGCCCATGAAAATTGTATAATTCCACCAGACTACATGGCACGGCAAACCAGAAAACTGCAATATCCAATGTCATTCCTAATTGAAGAAATTCATACCATCATAAAGTATAAGGCAAAATAACATTTTTTGGTGGCTGTGTTGTACTGCTAATGTTAAAAAATGAAGGTAGACAAATAAAATGTTCCTCTTTAGCATTTATCAAACATAAGAGAAAAGTTCATTATGCTTGCAGAAAAAAAGTTGGAGTAAAATGGAAAACAACAAATTATAAACAGATTTACTTCTTTAAAGTGTGAGTGACTGTAATGGTTATTTTAATAGAGAAAAGTAATTGAAAAATAATATATAGCCTGCTGACTTACTGATGTTTCCCATCGAAATATGTTGGCATAAAAACACAGGTAGTTTTGTGAGACATAAAGTCTCCCATGAACGAGAATATCCTTCTGCAAAGCACACGAATAATCTGCAAAATAACAAAAGTGCACACTTAGAACACTTAATTATACTGAGATAAACTACAAAATTAAAAAAATGTGGAGTGCTGCAGCTAGGCACTTGGACTGTGGGCTAATGACCTCTCAAGTAAAAAAAACTTGCCATGAGATGTTACACAAGGCTTTGGAATTACTGAAGCAACAGAAATCGGAGCATACACAGACAGTTTTAGTTGAAAGATCTGAAGGGAAGAAGCCAGTCATTTGAAAAATATAGGCATATAATAAAGGGTAATATTAAAATGGATCATGGGCAAACAGTGTGTGAGGATGTGGATTGACTTACATGGCTCAGGATGGAATCAAGTGAGGAGCTCTTGTGGACATGATAATGATCCTTCAGGTTCCATATAAGGCATGGAATATTAAACTAGCTGAGCAACTGTTAGCTTCAGATGAAGGACCCTACCCCTGAAGTTAGATAATTAATTAGTTAAAATTGTGAATGTAACTATTTCTTGTAACTGCCTTCATCTAACTGAAGAAAATAGTGAAAAATAAATAAAAATAAACATGACACACACACACACACATATTGGCTAATCTGTAAGGATATAAAATGAAAGAGTTGAACAATATGGCAATGTCATGTGACACAATAAGAAGAGAAGAGGTAACTAAGATGGATTTTTAGATGGGAAAAGACCAGGAAAGATGAAGAGAAGGGGACAAAGAAGGAAGCAGATATATGGACATAAAGAGTAACAGTAATAGGATATGAAAGAAGATGAATGGATAAACAAAGAAATGAGAGATAATGATATTTCTGTTAATATGAAAAATAATCCTAGATGGGAAAATACATGAAAAAAATACGAAGTGAAGCGAGATTATTCCTGAACATACAAGTTATATGCATTCTCAGACCACAGCACTGGACAGAAATGCAGTCAGCTTTTTGCTCCAGTTGCCTCACCCTTGCCTTAACATCATTTCTGTCCTGTCTATCCCAGAGATGTATGTATCAACATATTTTTCATAATTCAGTGACAAATGCCACAACTCTTTATATGTATCTGCCACAAATCAACATCTGAAAATTCTAACAACCATTAATCCAAATTGCTTATCAAGAAACAGCACACCTTCAAATACTTCAAACATACTTCAAATGAAGCCAATTTTCACAATAACTTGTTAGTTACATATACAGAAATGAGACTTTATAACTTCCTTTAAACTTCCTCTTATCTTGAAATATCAGTCAGTCTCTTTATAATTACAACATTTAAATTAAATGATAACTACCACAGCCACTTATGATAATGTCACTTCAAAGAATAGCACTTTTTCTTTAATGAAAATACTATGAGTTTCAACAACCTCTAAAGGATTGTGTTCCATCACAGATGACAAGTCAATATTGTTATCCATTTGTCACTCATTCTAATGGATAATGTCTATTATATGAATAAAACATTACATAATTTTTATGTATCATTAAACCTACATTTATATTACAGTAGTTCATAGAGGCACATCAGCCTTAAAATCACTGTGATTATAATCTGTGCATGGCATATACAACTCTACAACATTACATAATTTGCACAGAATACTGTGCACAATGGTCTTCTGGGCTGTTGTGCCATATACTACACAGTGCATCAAACCAGAAAATCATCAGTACTCACACCACTATGAAAACCTAAAATCTTGCATTATTAACCTCTATGGGAAGGATATATTGCCATGGAGCTACAACCAAGAACATCAATATTCAAAATGTAGGATTTGAGGTTTTCACAGCGGTGAGTCTGAAGATTGCTGTCTTCTGGGTTATTGCTCCATTTCAGACATTCGTCACCCTGATGATGGAGGCTGTATGACCTCTGAAACATTGGTGGAAATCTACCAGACTACACGGCGCAATAGCCCAGAAGACAACAATCTTCAATATTCAAAATGCTGTAAAAACCTAAAATCATACATAAAGATGTACAGTACTGAAACTGATTCATAATCAGGCAGTGACAACAATCGTGTATAAAATTAGTACTAATAATGAACAAATACTTCAATAAACTAATAAACTGAACAGAATCACTTACCTACAATTAGCCTTTCTTCTGATGGAACATCCTTGAAGATTCTCTTGAAGTCCTCGCTTCGTGACTTGTACGTTGGGTACAATACGTTGTACCACGATGACTTCTTCTTGGTGCGATCAGAACCACGACCAGATTCCTTGGTACGTTCCTTGCTGGGACCCTCATGACTTATGCTCCGGCTCAGCTCATGAATGTGACCTGAGTCAGATGACCGACTGAGACCATCCTGTGGAAACATAACTCTAATCATTATTACAATAACAATTACTCCTACCAAATGCCAAGTGTAGCAATTAGTACTCCTTCACTCCTGTTCACTTTTTGCATTTCTTGCATTCATACTTTCAGGGGGAAAAAATTTAAAGATATTTCCATCCACATCCAGATTTGTTACATTTTCCCTCAGTCTCAACAGGAAATTGCTTTAAAAGTGCTTCCAGTGAAAACTGCTTATTTCTTAAACTGTCCATAAATTCAAATGCGTAAAAAAACTAAAGAAAGTAATTTTTTAACATACCTGACTAATATTCCTGTAATACTTAAGAACTGACTGCATTTCACCAGCCATAATATATTTAATTACCTTTGCTACATATCAAATACTACAGCTATGTGGATCCACCACACAGTGCAACTTAACCAGTGTTCCCACCTACTAATACCAGTTGTAAGTTCAGGACACATCTGTGTACCCCATTTGTATTCTAATAATGGGTATTTTATTTGTTCAATTTTCTATCTTAAGTCATTTGGAGATAAGATAACAAGGCAGAACAACAGCTATACAAACTGCGGACAAGTCAGTCAGTCAGTCAGTAAAAGCCGAACAGCAACAAACAATTTGAAAAGTAAATTATACCATTTCATTCAATTACTTATTCAGTGTCTTTTTTAACAGTTAAACAGCTGATAATAAGTTCCTTGTTATAAAAAACAGATTATGACAACAGGAACTGGGATCAGCTGGTTCAGGATGCAGTGCCTGTCTGTTGTTATCAGAAAGAAAGGTCAGATTTCTCACTATGAACACTTTTGTTACCTGAATCAACAGTAACCAGTCCAGTTATTTCTATCAAAGGGGCACATTTTTGCACTTCCTCACACAAAAACAAATTAATGCTCTCTCCATATTACTAACCTCTATTATTTCAAACTTATCCAAGAGAGAGGTGTCCCTGCAACTTCCAACAGATATCTCCCCTTTGGAATGGTCTCTCTTGTGATTCTGCCGAGGGGATAGGCGTGGACTGGATTGTGGACTTGCACCTGGGCTTGGTGGCCTATTATAAGAATAACATCTGTTAAAGTGAAGTTATCACTCTTCAAATAACATAAAAGACAGCTATAGCTAATTAGCAGTATTTTCATAGGGTTAATGAAAACCAGAAAACAATGTCCATTAATCCTTTTGTTAGAAGAAGCATGATAACATGCAGTCACCACCTTGTTCCAAATAACTTTGCTTTTGGCAGTTTCAATTAAAAAGCTGAGGACATACACATAAACTTATTTGTGAATTTCTTTACTGTTTTACATCAGCCAGTATGTAGCAGGCTGGATACTGGGAAACCAAAATCTGATACCCAGTACTGGCGACGACTTCTCTCTTTCCCACATCATGTAGAATGACTTCAGGGCACACCATCCTATCCAATGGGTACTGAAGGCTACTTGTTAGAAGGTGAAGGTAGCCACAACATGAAGCTGACAACTTGATTCAATTTCCAGGAATAATAATGGCATTTTTCTCTCTCCCATACTGCACAGAATGACTCTAGGGCCTACCATGCCCCCTACCCAATGGACACCAGTGGTTCCTCATCTTATGAGTAAAGAAAACTAATCCATAAAACTGATAAGCCACTGCAATATGGGTTAAGGTAAAGAATGTGGAGGTAGAGCTTTATAGTCACAGCAAGAAAGAAACCAACTGTTTACAAAAAGTGTTACAGGAATGCATCATGAGAACACCATATCACATTCCTAATTCCAAAAATCCTTTGTCACATTTTTATGATACATTGTATGGGAGACTGATGTTAATAATTTATTTCATTCTGAAGTAATTTAACAACACTGTGCCAAATGTGGGATTATTTACTAGTGAATGAGATGTGAGGATAAATGCCATGACAGTACTTTAGCAAAGTGGGGGTGACTGTCTACCTCCCACATCATTCATACTTATCACATTATAACTCACTCAATACTGAAATCTTAAAACCATCAATGTCAGGCTTCATTACACAAAGCATGGTATGGTACTGACACATGTTACTGAAATATAAATGTGAAATAAAGACTGCCATTTCACATACAGGATTCTACACATTTTATGCAAATATTTCAAATAAATCAAAATATGCATTCAAGAAACCCCACAGATTTTAATAAGATAAATAGTAGTTTTGTGTGTAATACATTTAATGGTAACTCATGTGTGATAAATATGGTAAAATGCATCTTTAAACATACAATTTAAATTAAAATATGGTAGGATGAAATCAAGAAGAAAGTAACAATAAAATATTAACATTTTATGGAGTAGTTTATAGAATTTATAAAATAAAATTCACTCATCTTCTTTTCAAATGAGTGCAAATGGCACATTAAGCTACTTACATGCAACCTAATTTCTTATCTGCCTAGTATACACACAAAAATTAAAAAATCTATTTACAAGAAATGATTTGCAACATGAAAAATGTTATATTACATACTTCAGCACTCACCCCTCATCTTTCTACTTTTGTGTAATGGAATTATTATTAAGTAGAAATGATATCAATTGTAATCATCATTTTGAGAAATTATCCCAAAAAGTACAAAAAACAAATACACTGATCAACCTCCTCCCACATAAGGCAGCAAGTGACATAACTCTGACTATAACAAAGCATTCCAAAGAAATCTTTATAAAAACTGTCATCATACAGCCAAACAAAAGTTATATTAATTCCATGACAGCAACCCATGTAATGACACTTCTGCAAACATATTACTTGCCATTAAAACTCGTTACTGATATGTGCATATAAAGATGACAAAAGTCCAGGATAGTAACACAGATATATGTGCTTCACTATGACTACAAGTGTACAGCTGTCAGAGAGTCTGCTAGGCTCTTCAATACAGGGTTTGTATTTTATACAGTAATTCCTGTTCTATAAGTTAGTTCACCCACTAGGTCCCAACTTATGGGCACAGTGAAAAGTCAAACAATTATCCTATTACACTCACTCTCTTCCTCAAATAGTCTTACCTATATGATACCAGTATTTAAAATATGGTTATCAGACAATGTAGTGTATCAAGCATATTTCTGGAGCACTGTTAAGATGGTATATTTAGGTTAAACAATGTCCCTACAGCCATGTTAAGTCATCCTCAAAACAACGTTATTCAAGAATGACAGCAGAAACTGCATGACAGACCAACACACCTGCTAACCACATATGGATGTAAAATACACATTTAAATGTGGGAGAGTTACTAAAGCAGCAACCTTCAACTAGGCTACACAGCTGTCTAGCCAAATTGTTAGGCACAGTTTAGCCATGATTACCGTATTTCCAGAGAGTTTGCTACATGTCCCTGGGGACAGTTGGTTGGTAAAGTCATGGCCCCAAATGTGAGGGTAGGACTGATGCTACTCCCAATCACGTCGTGACTAGATATGAGCAGGTTCTCCACAGACTTTCGCCTGTAAATATACAATGCATCTCCACTGGACAACCAGAATATCATACTACTGTCACATGATAAATCTACACAATAATCACACATCTGGAGCTGTACTGAACTGTACAATTTGTATCTACATTCACACACATATACTTTACACAAAATGTGATTATCCTTTATTGGTTAAAAAGCCAGATACTACAAAGCCCGAGCAATGTCAATACTATCTCAGTTCAATACTATAGAAGTACAGAAATAAGAATTTTGTAGTATGAGGAGATAGGAGTTTACAACCAAAGTTAAATACAATCAGTAAATGGTAAAACAAAGGCAACATAATGGTGCATGCTGTCTATATGAAAGAAAATATTCACATACTATACGGTATGTAAGTATATAAAAATTAGTATTAAATGTTGCTGATGATAACAACAAACGTCACTTACATCAATCCAGTTGAAGTATACTGAACGTCACTATCGTTCATAGTATAGCTGCCTGAACAGAGCTTCGAACTCTGCGGTGAGATTCCTCCTAGACATTCAAATACACTTCATAGTTTAAAAGTAAATGTGAAGCAATTTAGCCCCGGCGTATGCCTGGAAATTTCGGTAAAACCATGATATTTTATATTGACTCTCATTAAGAGTTTAAAAATTTTTATTGCAACTGGTTACTTGCTACACAATACCTTGCGCTACCATCGTAGACATTCCACAGAAGAAAACATGCATCACTTATAATCAAACAATGTGAAGTTATTCACGAACACCCGCAAGTCGCTTGAGCTAAAATATAACATCTGTGGTTTCGCAGATAATCGATAATCAAGAAGAGCTACAGCATAAAGGAAGTTAATGTAAATGGTGATGAAAGGAGTAGTGTCGTGACTAAAAGTTGCAAGAGTACAAGTTGAATTTTCGTGGCTTTCACGGTAACTTGTATTCAGTTCATTTGATATGAGACAAAGAACACCTTTTGTGCTTTGTTTTCGATGTTTGTAGCGTGATCTGCAGTACAGTCTTAAAAGTGGGGTTAAGTTTGTCTCGTTATAGGTTAATCGTGGTGTCGTGTTATTAAGGAATAGAATAACAGAATGGTAAATAAAATGTCTGTAGTATAAACTATCGTAGTCACTTATCATTTTGGATCCAGATGTGCAATGCAAGCAATGGATTGTGCTGCTGGAAATGTGTTATAATCAGTTGTAAAATTTAAAGCGGCGTACTAATAAAAACTTAATTTATTGTGTGCAGAAACACAAGCCTCCAAGAATGCCGTGTTGGTATTATGAGAAAAAGGAGCTTCGTAACACGCCATCTATTCAGGATGGAATTGATTATGAGACAGAGTGTCGTTACAGAAAGGAAGGGGCAAGATTCATCATAGACACTGGAACAAAGATGGACCTGGGATACAACACAATGGCTACTGGAGTTGTTTATTTTCACAGATTTTACATGTTTCATTCATTCAGAAACTTCCCAAGATATGTAAGTTATGTTTTACATAATATTCCAAGCTAGTGTTGCCAAAATAGTGGATTTTAGATTGCTTTATGTTGAATTTGAGGAGAATATCTTATGAGCTTTAACAAATTGCCATGCATGCTTTAATATTATTTAATTATTAAGGTTAAAAATTAATTAGTGTGTTGAATTTTGTATCAGGTTAAATGGTTTATACAGGTTGAATATAATTAATTCCACCCCAATTTGGGATTTAAACAGCTAACAGAACCACTCAACCTCTGAATGCTTAATGACATATACAATTCTGCTCATTTGTACATATGTAACATATCAGGTTTTTATCAACAGAATTTGTACTCTGACCATCTTGGTATCACAGATATGGGATTTAAAAAAAAACAGAGTAGCAAAGTGATATCCTACCAAGTTTAGAAAAAAAAATTAAAAGTTATTATCTATTGATACACATAATGTACATTAGCCTATTGCTTTTAAAAAGTCACAAGAAATTATATTAATATTCCCATGAATAGTTATGTTGCAATTGATCAGGATTTGTAAAGAATCATTATTCTTCCCATAATTCTTTAATATAATGAAGTGTAGGGTATAATTGCCTTCTGTCTTTTATATATTTTCATTGCTGTTACTGCAAATGATAGTTACTTTACCTTATGCTGTCTTTTTTAGGTAACAGCTTGTTGCTGTTTGTTCTTGGCAGGAAAAGTGGAGGAGACTCCAAAGAAATGTAAAGATATAATTAAAACAGCCCGGAGTCTACTTACAGACCAAAAGTTCTTGACATTTGGAGAAGATCCCAAGGTAGTTACTCCTGCTTCATATTCAGGAAGTCCCAGATTTAAACTTGACACAGAGACTATTAAATCTGAGGTTTGTGTGGTCTTCTTCAGTTCCTCCAGGCAAATGCTGGAATAATACCATAAAACAGGCAGCAATTCTTCAATGTCAGTTGTGATCAGTTGTTTATAATCATCCTGTAAATGTTGTATAAATAATGTGTTGTTAAATTTACTAATGTACATATTAATATAATGGTTGCATGCATTTTTAAATAATGAACAATGTATTGAATTTAAATGCATTATGTAATGTATAAACCAAAGATATTCAAGTGCTATTTTTTTATGAAATTTAAAAATATATGTTTTTCTCTTTTATGTTGAAATGGATTACCTCATTATCTGTCATTTTGATGTGTCAGTGGTCTTAATACATAGAGAAATAACTGAAAATTTTTGATTAAGGTATTTAATTGTGCATTGTATTTTGATTGCAGGAAGAGGTTATGACACTAGAAAGGATTCTTCTTCAAACTATAAAGTTTGATTTACAAGTAGAACATCCATATAGTTACCTTCTCAAATATGCAAAGTGCCTGAAAGGTGAGAGTTAATATGTCTTTTCTTCTGGTTTACATCAAGTAATTTAGAAACATTTACCAAGTAGTAGAAAGACAACAGGGCTGTAGTGATGCATTGTGCCCTAGGACCTTGAGGCTAAGAGAGGAATTCTGTTATTGAGTTTGATATTCAGCAAAAATAAGTAAACTTGGGCTTTCTAATTTAGAAACCAAGTTCAGTTCATCTCTGTTGTTCAGGTTCTCTGATGTATGTTACTCTTTAGCTTCTTTGCCTACTAGCAGTGCTTATTGCTAAGTTAAAATGGGAGCAGTCAAATTGCTCCTTGAGTATTAATTACAAAACTACACGAACCTGAAACCTGTCTCACGGTGTAATCAGTGATAGAGACAAAGCAGTGTAGGAAATGTTATTTAAAGTTGTTGGATGACATACTGTGATGCATAATAAAGTAATAGATTTTTGTAAGTGCAGTATAAAGTAGACAAAGTTTGAATTCAAAAACTGTTACAGCATCACATTTCTAGAAAGCCATTTCCATAACTGTACCCATAAATTAATAATTCTTTATTTTAGTCATTATCATTATACTTTTTGTGTTTAGGTGATAAAACAAAATTACAGAAGATGGTGCAGATGGCTTGGACATTTGTGAATGACAGGTAATTTGACATGTTTTTATTGTGTCAAGTTTCATTAGAGCCATCACCATCACTTATTCCAAATAAGCAATTTTTGCTTGTAGTTAAAAATTATTCCGTGACATTATAATTTCTGTACATTTCTTTCTTAGTTTATGCACCACTCTGAGTTTACAATGGGAACCAGAAGTAATTGCTGTGGCTCTCATGTATCTTGCTGGAAAGCTTAGCAAGTTTGAAGTAGTTGACTGGTCAGGTCGTACAGCCAAACATCTACGCTGGTGGGATATGTTTGTTGAAGATGTCACAATGGATCTGCTTGAAGGTAAAGCTATACTGTTCAATCTATGTTAAAAGTTATTAAGTCAGTGGTGTCAAATCACTGCATACATCTTAGCTCAACCCTTTTCAGAGATTGATATGAACTAAAACATGATCTTACATCTGTTCTTCCTAGATATTTGCCACCAAGTACTAGATCTGTATTCACAGCCTCAGACATCAACATCTCCTGATTCTCCTCCTCTGTTGCCATCCACACGCTCTCCAACGATGAAGAAAGAACGGATGCCACAGCCAATATCTCCAGTAGTTCTACAACTCTCTCCAGCATCTACAGGTACAGTGCTATAGTATTGCTGGTGATGCTAAATTAAGCAGAAATAAAGCATTAATCTATAGCAGCACAAACTCTTATTTTATAGTACAAGTGTAATAGGTTTAAGATGGCTGTCTTCTGGGTTGTTGCACCATGTAGTCTGCTAGAAGTTAAGACTACATGATGCAACAACACAGAAGACAGTCATCTTCAGACTCACTGCCGTGAAATCCTCAAATCTTACATGTAATAGTTTTGTTACTTTACATTAATATATCTTTTTCGATGGTATGGTTTCTCATCATCATGATTATTGCAATAAGCTCTATATATTTAATTTAACATTATTCTGTAACTCTTCATATTGGATAATTAAAAGCTTATTAACACCTTCATAAACTGTTTGCTTGATGACCTGAAACATCAATGTGTGAAGTAATTTCTTCAAATTGAACAGAAACCTTATAGAAAGTTTGGGATGAGTGCCTATGTCACTTAGATACTGTCATAATTAGCAATCAAATTAATTAAGTTAAAAAGTTATTTCTACTAGATATACTGATACATCTTTTATAAGACTATTATTTTGTTAAAAAGTGTATATTTTACTTGTAAAAGCCCTGTAATAATTGGCTCTAACTTGGAAGCTCTTGCTTTCTCATCATATCCAGGTTTGTTTCTTAAGTACAGATGACAGTGTTTCCTTCATTTACAAACATATATTCCCTCTCCGGTAATCACCCTGTAATAACATAATTTCAATTATAAAAATTTCAGTTATTGAAATTATTTTATTTGCAGCTATTCCTGTGAAAGTGAGCAAGGACCTTAAGCCGCACATGATATCAAGCAATGGAGAAGGAAGCCACGATAAAAATGATGTTCCAGTGACAAAGGCTTCTGAAATTGTCAATCACTATCAGTATGGTTCATATTCACATTCATCGATGACTCCGACGTTTCCACCTACGTATACAACTCCACTACCTGTAACAGTTGCTCCTGCTGTTCCCACTAATACATCTGCTCCTCCTCCAACAGTACAGCTAAGTGCTCATGGACCAGGTCCAAGCACAGCGACAGGCTCATACAATCCATATCCATCTGCTGCACACCAGTATACTACATCCCAATATTACCAAGCACCATCTGTGCCTCCTCCTAGTAGACCTTACTATCCGCCTCCAGCGGGTCAAAGCTAGTCAGTTTCTAGTAATCTTAATGACTTTGCACCTTGGATTGTCAGAATGAATTGATAATATTTAAACATGATTAAAAAGACTGATATTACATTTTTCTTACTATATCTGCTAATATGATAGTTGCAAAAGTTGCTTATAAAACATTTGTATTCAGAAAGTATGAATGCCTATAGTGAGGAAAATTTCACTCCAGTACATCATCTCAAATATGTTTCTATATACATACATTTAAGATGTATGACTCTTAATAAAACTGATTTTATAGCAAGTGAATGAATGCTCCCATTGGCTCGGGGCAGGCTACACCTTTCACTTTCCAGCCTATAAACCTAGCACCTCACACCCTATTGGCATATTCATCGCCCTGATGACGGAGGCAGTATGACCTCTGAAACGTTGGTTAACATCGACCAGACTACACAGCGCAACAACCCAGAAGACGGAAATCTTCAAGTGAATGAATAAGTTTGCATTAACACTAAAATATGCATTCATACTTTTCTTGTGCTATGGACTTCCTATTGCAGGACCCCTGTATACGAGGGCAATTCAAAAATTAACCTCCGATCGAGTAGGAAAGAAAAACAAAATACAGTGAAAAAAAAATTATATACAAAAGTTACAAACATACGAGGCTGGTCTACAAAGTAAGTTTCCCTGGGGCCGTTTACAGAAACAAAACACAATTTCATGGAAATATTTATTGCAACAGATACAGCAAGTGTCCAGCTATTTTTCAACATATTCGCCACCGGAATTGAGACATTTGTCATACCGTGGGACCAACTTTGGAATACCTGTGTCGTAGAAGTCTGCCGCCGGGGATTGGAACCACTGTGTGACAACCATCTCCGCCTCTCTGTCATTCTCAAAACGCTGACGCTGACCGGACAGGAATTTCTTGAAGTGTAGGAAAAGATGGAAATCACTGGGAACGAGGTCCGGGCTGTAGGGTGAATGATCAAACACCTCCCAGCTGAACTCCTGCAGGAGACTTGCTGTCCGTCGAGCCGTGTGCGGCCGAGCGTTATCACTGACCGCACTTCACAGTCGGCGGGAGCTGGAATAAGAACCTCCATCTTCAACAGCTGCAACGATGCTACTGTAAGAACGCGGGAAGTACCGTTAGTGCATGCGCCATGCTACGTCATTGCTCTATCACGTACGCACAGTCGCTTCGCGCAATATAAGGTTTGCTAGCTGTGGGACGAGTGAGAAACTTACTTTTGGGACGCGCCTCGTAAAT